ATAACTAGAGTTCGGTTCTTGTTTCAGATTTGGTTTGACTTACTGTCGGAGAAAGTTTCAGAGGAAATATATATATCATCAGGTAAATGGTTGTGAAACAATGGCAAAGAAGAAAGGCTTGTTCACTGTATTGAAAAGGATTTTTGTTTCTGAAGCTAACTCAGAGAAGGTGAAAGATTAAGAGAAAAAATCTCATTCTACTATTGCTTGTGATTGTTTTCTGCTTCTTGTTTCATTCTTATTATGTATAATTCTTTCAGAAAGAGAAGAGAAGAAAATGGACATTTTGGAAGCTTAGGGTTAAGAAGAGATTGCCTTCCATTACAGCACCTCCAGAGCACAGGACGATAGGCGAATCGCTCGACGAACATAAGGAGGAAAGTGTGTCTGATGTAGGTGAGGTCAGCCAAGTATTTTGTAGTCGACAGTTAGATTCCATAGAAGAGTTAAAAGATTCAACATCTCCAGAAACTTCTGATCTGGTAGTCCAATATCAAATGTTTCTAAGTAGAGAGGAAGAAGTTCTCGCTGCTACTCGGATTCAGACAGCTTTTCGTGGTCATCTTGTAAGATCTGTCTTCCCTTCTCTTTTGTGAGTTTTTGGAAGAATGAATCATTTTCATGAAAGTCTTGTGTTAGTCTAGTACTGGAGTTTATGTAGTTACATTGTATCTGTGTTGACGGCTCAGCAACTATAGTTGAGTAGGTTAGTTAGAGAGTTAACATGTTAAAAGGAGTCACTACACCAACTTATATGTGAATCTATTAAAGCCGATTGTTTTGGTTTGTTGTTTTGATTTTTCCGGTCGGGTTTTCAGGTGACATACTGATAATGTTTTTGAACTTCATTTCAGGCAAGGAAAGCTTTGCGTGCGTTGAAGGGAATAGTGAAGCTTCAAGCATATATCAGAGGTCGTGCAGTGAGACGCCAAGCAATGACTACACTAAAATGCTTGCAATCTGTTGTGAACATTCAGTCACAGGTTTACGGTAAGAGAACACAAATTACCGGTGTTGCTCAGAGAGATTACGAAGAGAGCAATAAATTTCAGATATTCAGTGAGAACATGCTCAAGGTACTTATTCTAATTGAACACAGGTCCACTACTTTCTTTATTTAGTATGTAAGAAGATATTACGTTTTCAGGTGGACACAAACAGTCAAAAGCGATGGGACGATAGTCTTTTAACAAAAGAAGAGGCGGAAGCTGTGGTCATGAGCAAGAAAGAAGCTTCACTAAGAAGAGAAAGGATAAAGGAATATGCAGTCACTCACCGGGTATCCTATACGCTTGCTAATTCGACATTTTGTTGCATTACAAGTTTCATATTGGACCTGAAAACTGTTTCTTTGTGAACGAACATCAGAAATCCGCGGAGTCATACCAGAAACGGAGCAACACGAAATGGAAGTACTGGTTAGACGAATGGGTAGATACCCAAATAACCAAGAGCAAAGAGCTTGAAGATCTCGACTTGTCTTCAAAAACAAAGCCAAAAGACGAAACTTTGAATAAAACTCCAAGGAACTCATCGCCGAGAAGATTGGCGAATAATCATAAAAGACATGTTTCGATAGGTGAAGAGGAACAACAGAACCCCGGCGCAGGTGCAGTCACTACACCAACTTATATGGTTGCAACAGAGTCTGCAAAGGCAAAATCAAGATCTATGAGCTCCCCAAGGATAAGACCAAGAAGTTTCGACACACAGTCAGAGAGTTACTCGCCGTATAAAAACAAGCTGTGCCTCACCACTTCGGTTATGAGCGAAGCGCCAAGCAAAGTCAGGATCGCCAACAATGGCAGTAATACTAGGCCAAGTGCATACCAACAAAGGTCTCCAGGGTTAAGGGGATTTAACATAGGCCCTTTGAAATCATGCAATAGTACACCACTGAACGATCTCAGCATTAATTCGGAACGGTCTCTACCGAGCTGGAACAAGCAGAGTAGCTTGAGATGAGTGGATTTTGAGCCCTGTATATACATATACATACGTTCCAATGTTACTTGTGGAGGGTTACACTCACATGTGCACAAATCTTTTTTCTTTTGTTTGTTTTACTCAATTTCATTTGGTTCATTGCACAATGACAATTATAAAAACATGGGATATTGTCATTTGGTCAAGTGTACAAGACAATATACATGGGATATTGTCTGTGCCAGCCATTTCTCTCCAATGTAGATTTTTAAACTAAACTAAAATAGCACGATAAGAGACAAGAACATAATCAACCCGAATAATAAATCGACTACCATTCAGAAGTATCATCTCCATCAATTTCTCTAACCATTAACTAATGTGGGACAATATATATTCACATTTACTGAAACTTCGAGCCATAAGATTGAATTTTATACAATTTATGTGTAAAATACATCTACCAGTTTAAATTTTATAGATTTACTTAAAACGATTTTAATTTCCGATAACCGCATACACAAAAACACTTTGCTCTGCTTTCGGTTTTTCCATGATTAATCAAATCTAGTTATATTTATTTTAACACTTAAAATTACAATTTTATTAAATCATCAGCCAAAACAAAAAAACATGCGCGTATTTACCTAGTCTAATCAAATTCACTTAAAATCCGACATGCAATACAAAATACAATACAAACATT